TTTTTGCAAATGGACACAAAAAAGTAGACATTTTGTGAAATTTCCTCTAATTATAATATTGCCTGGCACGTTTTAGACTTTTCTGTCTTAATCTTCACCAACTTAATCCATGTATCATGTACACATCCGCATTGAGTTCTATATAATCCCTCAAGAAAATAGAAAATCACATTGTCATGGAGAGTATTTGCTCGTGTACGAGAGAGCAAATCCACCAAAAAACTCGCGCGAAACTTGAGATAGTCAAGCTTGAAGTCATGACTAAAGTTAAGGATTACATTCTACCGTTAAGCTATATTCATTCTCTACAGCTGCTGATTCTTAAATTTCGTACTTTTACCTTATTTCTCGTTCACCTTCATAGACTATCCGCTGAGATTGTCGTTTAAATTGTACGACCACCTCAATGCAGGCCACCATCACCAATTCCCTATTCACTTTGGTCAAGATCACAAACATATTAAAACTGATGACAAGAGCATTTCAACCAGGACCACAAGACGATCCGAGCATCAACCTCGAGTTTTACATTCGTGATGTTCCTTTTCGAGTTACATCTGGCCAGATTTCTCCGGGGAAAATTGCAAGTATCTCGAGCTCTAACTGATGCAATCATATTAGCTGAACTAAAAGGAAACGGCAGCATTAGTTCGATGAAACTCCCTCGGAAACTATGATAGAACCAGAATTTGGCATATATACATACTAAAAGGGGAACTCCTGTTTGAAAGGAACTCATGTTTACAACTATGTATATTCAACTGTCAACAAAAAATGCTCGAAAAACTTCTTTAACCGAGTTCTCTGTCTTCAGAAAAGGTAGGCCATCCATTCGAACTGTGCTTAAAATGACTCTTTATTTTCCTGTTTAATTGTACTTGAATCATTTTTTCGTTTGCCATTGCTTCTTGGATATTGTTATGAACCTGCTTGCAAAGTTCATCAAGAGCAAGCATTGGGAAGGGTTCTTCAATAAGGACACCAACCTGCACAGAAATCTTGATATTAGATCACAAACTACTAGTACCGAACAAATTAAAGCACTTTTTTCTAAAAGTCCATTCAAATGGCACAAGTTGCACAAGTGTAACGCTGTTTCAGATGTATAATGGATGGCACACCAGTTTTTTCTTAAATGGAAAAATAAAAGAAGAACGAAAATGAAAACTCGTTGCCTTACACGACCTGCGACCCTCCACCCTCAAAACGGTATTGGTTCTATACTTGACCATTAATAAGATTTCCAATCACAGACTGGGAGTGAAAAATTAGTGAAACTTTGCTCTATGATCAGTAAACTCGATAGAAAGATAATTTCAAGCATGTTTTCTATCTACAGACTTGTGTACACTTGCGGTTTGTTTGGCAATGTGGATTATAGTACTTGACAGTATTAAAAAAGAAAAAGAAGCTAAAATTTTATGCACTGTATTATTGTGTCTAATACTGCATAACAAGCATGCTCAAATGTGTATCTACATTTCTGTTCCACAATGGAAAATTAATTTACCTCCTCTATGCAAAATAAACAAGCAGCACTGATAAAAGTAGCAGGTACAACAATCCAGTGACATTCATCCCACAGTATAATGGGAAGAGTAAAATGCCACAAGACTAATAATCTTGACGTCAGTCGAGTGTATGAGAGAGGGATAGGTATGCCCATCAGCTGTTCGCACACCCCGATACCTTCGTGAAAGCAAGAAATTTTCGACTCCTGCAATAAAATTCATTAAGTGTTAAAATCATCTCGTCTAAAAAAATTAAGGTCTCTGGAGTGGACAAGAAGTACTTTATTTATTTCATCTCAGACGTGCATGGATTCATTTTTCGTTGGAGACATAAGATGTGAAATTTTTATAAATGGGTGACTATGTGACTCGAACTTAGAATGCTTTGATTTATCAAGTCTCAAATGTTAAGAATTAAACCTAATCCCAACCGGAGAGCAATGTGAACAAAACCAAAGGGCAAAAATGCACATACGCAAAAACAAAAATTTATGGTAAGTTTACTATCAATGTGAGAGCTACAACCACTTGCCTATCGCACATTTTTTTGTAAAACTCGAGAAGAAGTCTAAAATGAAGATATCGTGCCTCTCTCAACCTGTGATGTGCGTGCCACCAAAATTGACTAAAGTCATGTTTATCAAATGGCAACTTTGTTAGTGGATGGAGTCAACTGGATTTTGACACTGGCATCTTGCTGGCCATCTTTTTTTGATAACCGTGGATGTCTGGGCCAGCTTGCGCACACCTCCACTAATTCCACGAGGCCTTAAATTTACGATCGGATACTCACCTCAGTGTCCCTGAGAGATTTAACCCTTGGAAGCATTCAGAAAGCAATCAGATGGCTCCAAGGGTTAAATCCCTCACTTGACTCCTGGCTTTTCATTATTCTGAATAATTTTGAGAGAGAGAAAACATTTCGTCTAAGGTTTCATCTTCTAGTCTGGAAACTCTCATTCAAGAATGAGATCTTCAAATATATTTCTGACACTAGTGTTTTTTGAGTGAAGGGCTTGAGTGTTCTTGTGTTGTATAGATTAGATTTGTGGTTGATATGAGTTCTTGGTAAACTTGGTTGTTTGATCTGCAGTTTCTAAAAGATTAGTTCATTTGTGGCTAGATCTTGTGTATTCTTGAACTATTGTATACCTTGATTGCTGTTTTGGCAATTTGTAGTGCAATTGAGCATTATCCATTTTAATGGAAGCTCAATAGGGGATTAGGTGTTAGAAGCGATCAACGAACCTCTGGGGTTTCGGCCGAAAAATTCCTTGTGCTCAATCTTTAATTTTCTACAAGTTTTACTCTTCGTAATTCTAGATATGTGTGATTGATCACTTATATTTGTATTTCTGTTCATTTCATATATGAAAAAAACTTACCAACATATGGCGCTTTGTGTCCTCCATATTTAACAACCAAATGCTTTGAGATATGAAGTTGATGATGCACTGGGGACGATGTTTTGAACTGAGGACTACTGCTAGATCATCAACCTCAAGCAAATTTTGAAGATCCATTGCGATATCTGAGCCATAAATAATATGGCACTGCATGTAGATATGTATACTGTAAACTTGTGTCTTTGACAAAAATGTGACAAAGAATGAGATCTGAACTAAAACTGTTGCGTGCGTCAATTACTAAATGAAGGGTCCTAAACTTCAATAATATCAAAAACTAAGTAATGAAGAAATAGAATGCAGGCAAAGCGAAAGTTTCCTATGATTCATCATACATACATTTTCTGCCACTACATGTAACAATAATCTAAACAGACGAACTTCTAAAAACTCTCTTATTTGTAGCTTTCTCCGTCATTGGAGATGAAAAACTAGCCACGTGTATTTCATTACCAACTCAAATACGAAGTTTTACATCACATAAAAGCGTAAAGCATCAAAACCATCAAAATGCCTTCAGCAATGAAGCCAAATTCGACATTGAATAGTAATACTCAGATTTTATTTTTAAACCACCTCATCTAAAAGCTTAGCTATTAGAGAGGGCACAAACTAATTTAGCCCTTGTTTGACACCCTTTTTTCGGAACTCTTTTTTTTTCTCATATTCATTTTCAACCACACATTTACACAATAAAATATTTTACTCGTAAACCCAAATTTTTTCTATATATTTTAACCATGCATTCTCCCAAAAATCATTATTCAAAACTCCGAAAACTCTTTAAAAAGGCTGTCAAACAGGGGCTTATTTACATGTCTTCAAACACTCTCTTTACCTGCAGGCCATATTCATTTTTTACATCAGAGGCCTGACACGAGCACAATATTTATAAATGGGTGGCAATGAGCCTTGTACCCAGGATCTCTCTCCTCCAAAACCATATTTAAACCATCTCGTCTAAAATTGACAAACTTGTATTTTTAGGTTGTCTACAAACACATATTTCTAAGATTCTTGAGCTTCGAAAGAAATGAACATCAACGTAAATGGTAGAGATAAATAACAAAAAATTCACTTACCTTGAGGGCAACTGGAAATGCCATGATATACTGCAAAAGAGCCTTTTTGAGCAACACATCACTTGCACTTCCCACACTAGCAATCACTTGCCTTGCCAAGTCATTTGTTCCTGCAAGAACCTTAGTCCAAGCCTTCCTCCCTTCCTCGTACCTCGAATACGATGCCTCAGTCCTAAAAACCAACAAAAGCGCCAAGGCTGGTGCTGCCAACTGATAAGGCAAAGAAGAGGCTCTCAAAACGGGGAAAAACTCTGGTAGCCAATGCAATGAAACTGCTGAATTATAACTGGCTATAAGTACAGCCACTGATGTAAAACCAATCACTGGAGGAACCAAAGATAAAATCACCCGCGAACTGAGACTTGATAAAAGATGCCTAATATGCCTCAAGGAGCTTCTGTGCTGCACCCATTTTTCATGGTCATATAAGGACCTTTTCTGTTTCATACCCCTTTCTTGCACACTGTCAGCCCAGTTGGGTATCGCAAGAAGAATCGACGAAAGGGTCAAAGTTTCATTCGATGATGAATCCGAGGGCTGTGAAGAACAAAGAAATCTGAAAGTGAGTTTCTTCGAACTTTTGGAGGGAAATGGTAAATGGTGAAATTTGAAGGGTATTCTGGGATTGAAATCGGAAGAACAAAAAGATAAATTGGCTGGATTTTGAATTGGGTTTTTGCGCATTTTCAATTGTTGAATTCTTGATTAGGGTTTGGAGATTGAAGCAGAAATATTTAGGGGGAGAAAGGGAGCATGACTCTGTTTCAGACTGTACAAGCGAAATTCTTATTTCATTTTCGGAATTGGATAGGTAGTTAGAAACAGTTAATTTGTGAATGAGGTTTTTACACATGTTTCAAAATTATATGCTGCCTTTTCTTTTCCTTGGGGTTTATTGGCACAACCTATTGTCGAATAGCTCTATCCTTTTAAATTTCGTAATACCCCCTATATGACTTTTGAGGTGCGAACCAACCTCTACCGTCCAATTTCATATATGATCCCAAACTTTTATTTTTGCAAATTATACCCACACATTTCATTTGTACAACCCACACTTTCAGATCTTTAAAACTTCATCTTCTTCTCTAATCTCACTCCCAACCTACACTACCTTCAACTCAAAAATTCATCTTCTTCCTCAATCCTTATTAAGCACCTATGTGTGCGCGATTTTAATCTGCAATAAAATCTATTTTTATTCCGTTGAAGGAAGCAACGATCAGAAAATCAAAGAAAGGTGGCTGAATATGTGACTAAACAAAGTCAAAAAGGGTGGGCGGGTACTGTAGCAACGGTACAAATTTCAATTTTAATTGTGCCCAGACAAGACCTAAATAAAACAATCATGCTACTTTTACAATTTGGTTGACCACCTGTAAGTTAGTGATATCATATCCATTCATTTAAAAAATTTCTTTTGAATTCAATGACAAGGATATTTCCAACAGAATACGTGATTATACAACTAGCTTAATTCTGAATAAAAAAGCTTGGCCCGTATTACTGTTGAAAGTGAAGAGCGGAAGCTTATAATCACCTTCGAAAGGCCTATGCATGTTCCACAAAACCCCGTCAACCTTTGCTGTCTTTGGATGAATTCAAACTGGAATTGACATTTGGGATAACTGTTCGGAGATGAGCTTCATCTTTGGAGTGAGTCGACTAGCCGGAGATGGAATTGGGCTTTGACTTGGCAACGGAGGGGTCACTCATTGGCAATGAGGAAGGTGGCAGCGAAGGTATAAAGAGATGAGATAAGAGGCATAAAGGTAGCTACATTATTACAACTAGCCAAGAACTTCTCAAGCTCCTCTGGAGGAATATAGTCATCCATGTGATGTCCTTTCTTTGTTGAGACTATGTCATATAGCATTTATAATATGTAATCATTCAAAAATAGAAATGACACGTGAAAACCCTGAAAGATGCTAACGCACATCAAAGGTACTCAAAAATAGGAAAACAGAAGGAAAAGGAGAAGAGAAATTTAACATAAATTTAATATAAAACAATGAATAAATTTAAATGGAAGAGGAATACAGAAATTAGAAGGATCTTATTTCCCATATCTAATATGCAAACTATTGGAGAAGAAGGGGGTGGAATTTGGGAAGAAGAAGAAGTGAGGGTGGGGTGGGTTTTTATTTTGGTTTTTTATTTCCTATTTTAATTATTTTATATGGAATAATATAAAATTACCATTTTTTATACTTTAAAATTGTAGAAGAATGGTGAAGTCTGGTACACAGCCGCTTTTGTGGATGGTGTAGTGCTCGACTAGGGTGGAGGAGCTTGACTTCCTAAATCGATATTAGTCATTTTGGCTCTGACACCAAGTAA